CGGTTCGGAAATGGAACTTGGATTGCAGATCGGTTTTGAAAGTTTCGAGTAGGTGCATCAAAATCAGCTATGCGATGGTTCCTGGCTTGTCTTCGGTGTTGATTTTCTGGCTGTACAGGGCGGTTAACGCGCCCATTCGGCTGCATTCCTTGGTGGTCACCATCGTCTGCATTGATGGGTGCATCAAGGTCTTCACGCTCTTCTCTCTCGCGGTTCTGGTGGTTTCTTGGAGGAACCTCATCCTCCTCTCCATCTTGTCGAGCTTGATCACCTCCTCTGTGATTATTCTCTTCATTTTCTCCATGTTCGGACCCGTCTTGGTCCATATTTCAAGCTCGATTAATAGGATCTCCAGGCTGGTCATCGTTGGCCATTCCTTGTGTTCGTCTAAGTCTTCGAAGTTCTCTTTCGTGTCTGTCTATCTCGTCTAGAATTGGAATGTCTTCTACAGATCTGCGCCTGGTATTCATGCAATTCAGAGAAAAACAAAAGAGGGGAAAGATAGTTCAACAAAACTTTAAGAAAGAACTAGAGATCAGGTGTCTAGAACAGAAGTTAAAACAATAAAAATAGCAAAAGGCAGCGAAACAAATCCCCGGCAACGGCGCCAAAAACTTGATTGCGTGTCAACTGCGTGAGGGAACAAGTTTTACCCTTAACTAAAACAAATGAAAGCCGCAAGTGCACAGCTAATCAGTTGTAGTATTTCGGGATCGAATCCACAGAGATTTGTGTGCCTGGTATTCTTCTACGGTTTCTAACTTTATGTCTAGACTAGATTGGTTTTAAAGGTTGGTTGTTTATCACGAATTAAACTAAAACAAAATAAAGAAAATAAATCTATCCTAGAAAGCAAGTAGAAAAATCGAATGGAAAGCAAGTAAAATATCGAACTAAAGTAATTGAAATCCAGATCTAAATAAGCAAATAAAAATCGATTGGCTTGTAAACTATGGCTAAAAACGCTGAGCTTTTGGGAACTCTAAGGGATCATAATCGGTTTTGACACTAGGGTAGATAGATTGGGATTGACGGATATCGATATATAGGGTTCTAGAGCTAGAGTACGGCGGTATGACAACGTCACTGTCGTGATCATAACCAACTGTTTCTCGCAACCCTGACCAGTAGGTTTCCACTCTGGCCCTGGAAGAGAGAGAACGCAAGAGCTGCACAAGACTCGTCAATACTCACGATCTGGCCGCAGGTAGGTTTCCACTCGTACGGAAAAATCGCCTGTTTCATTCTAGGGCTGATACTTAATGAAAACTTTCGCAACACTAACTATCTAGATCAGATACTAGGTGATCAATCAAACATACATGCAATAAGAACAAGAATAAACAGAGAACAAAGTTGAAATCCCAGATCTATAAACTGTCTTAATCGATTATGAGAGCCCCTTTCGGGAACCCTAAGCCCAACTCGGGATCTACTCAGACATGGCTGAGGTCGACATCATCATTGGCTTTAATAAAAGTAATCAAAAACAGTAAAGAAAAGAGATGAAGAAAGCTTCTCTATTGAAGAACTCGGACTTGAACAATCTTCTACAAAAATCGCATAAAAACGGCTAAAGGAAAAAGGGTTTCTGTAAAGTGTGAAGGGTGGTGTCTAAAAATGATCTAAATGACAAGTATTTATAGTCTTCAATACTCCATGGTCTCTAGGGTTCCGGAATTGAGGCTGAGAATGAGTTTGGGCTTCAGAAGTATGGGCTTTAGTTCGGAGTTTGACGGCTGCGGTCGGGAGTGACGTGACCGCGGGAAATAGTTGGTTGGCCGCGGTCGGGAGGCTTGTGACCGCGGGAAATGGGCTGTTGGCCGCGGTCGTGTGACTTGCTGGTCGTCTTCGAGTGGCTCCGGGGCTAATAGAATATCTTGAGATCCAACCGTTGCAATGTCTCCAAACCAAGTGCATTTGAAAGCTGGTTGATTCTTCTATAAGTTGTCCAAGAGGGTGATCAGACGGTGAGAAGGTCTTCGTCTCTCCATGAGAGTTCTGACGGTTTGTATTTATCCAAAAGAGTCTTTTTGTTCCAATTTGTGTCTCTTTATCCCAAATTACCTGAAAAGTCTTTTAAAATCCGAAAACATAGAAATTCTTTGAAAATCTTTGGAAATGGAGTAAAAACATCCGTAAAAGATATTAAAGTGATCTATAAATGATGTTCTTCCAGATAAAGTGTTCAACCTTGGCGTCCTTTATACTTGCGTATGAGTCGGCCTTGGCCCATTTGGAGAAGTGGTCTGTAAGAACGAGCAGGAAACGCTTATGCTTTGACCGGTATAGAGGTCCAACTATGTCCATCGACCATCTCATGAAAGGATAGGGCGACGAAATTGATGACAGCAGCTCGGTTGGTTGATGGATAGTAGGTGCGTGCCGCTGACACTTCTCGTATTTTGCAGTAAATTTCTCGCAGTCCTTTACCATCGTAGGCTAGAAGCATCCGTGCCATTTTATCTTCATCGTTAAGGACCTTCCGCTAGAATGATTGCCACGTGCGCTGCTATGTACCTCGTGCATAATTTTTCTCACTTCGGATCCTTCGACGCATGTCATTTGTAGTCTTGAAAACCTCCATTTGAATACATCACCATCGATGTGGACATATTGCGAGGCTTGAGCCTTTAGTTTGCGAGCCTCCCATTTGTTGGATGGGACCTCTCCATCGTCGATGTAGACTCAAAATACTCTGAGCCATTCCATGTCGCAGCCATATTCCAGCTTGGGAGACGATGTGTCTTCTTCCATTGCTATTGCCTTGTTGTTATCTGGCTCCTCCTCTGGGGGGTTGATCAGCCGAACTCATTCTACTACTTCTATGATCGGCCGTTCGATGAATTCGACTGGAATTGTTCTTCTGAAATCTAGATCTGAGGTCGAGGCAAGCGCTGCTAAGGCGTCCGCCGAGATGTTTTCACCTTGGGGTATTCGCGTGAGCTCGAATTCGTCGAACTGCTTTACTAAGTTTTGGACCACTCCGAGGTATGCTTCCATTCTTGCATCCTTCACCTCGTATTCTCCGTTAAATTGGTTCGCTACGAGTTGTGAGTCACAGAAGGCTCTTATCTTTTGAACTTTGATTGTGAGTGCTAGTCGTAATCTGGCTATCAATGCATCGTATTCTGCTTTGTTGTTCGAGGCATGAAAGTTAAGGTGGAAGGATTGCTCCAAGATTTCCCCCATTGGTGAGGTAAGGCGAATTCCTATTCCTGAACCGTGCTTTGATGACGAGCCGTCAACGTGCAGTGTCCAAATGTCCTCCAAAGGGGGCTCGCCTGCTACTTCGTGGGGGAGCTCGACGAGGAAATATGCGAGCACCTGAAATTTTGCGGACGATCTGTTTCGGCATTCGATGTCTTACTCACTCGATTCGATTGCCCACTTAGCGAGCCAACCCAATTGGCTCGGACTGTGCAGGATCGAGCGCAACGGCAGCATTGCGAGTGCCACAATTGAATGTGATTGAAAATAGGGCCGCAACTTTCGGGCCAACATCACTACAGCTAAGGCAACCTTCTCGATATACAAATAGCGAGTCTCGGCGTTTGTCAACGTCTGACTGACGTAGCAGATCGGTTTTTGTTCTCCGTGCTCCTCCCTTATTGACACTCCGCTTACAGCTGTGGCTGATACAACGATGTAGAGGAATAGCAGTTCTCATGCTACCGGTTTTGCTAAGACCGATGGGCTCACCAAATAGTTCTTCAGCTCCTGGAAAGCTGCTTCGCATCGCCTGTCCTATTCGAACTTCTTATTCCCACGGAGGATATCGTAAAAGGGAAGGCACTTGTCGGTAGACCGTGAGATAAATCGGTTTAGCGCAGCGACTTTTCCCTTGAGCCGTTGAACTTCTCGTTTCGTTCTTGGAGAGGGCATCTCGATCAACGCCTTGATCTGCTGAGGATTTGCTTCAATACCTTGGTGCTTTACCAAATAGACAAGAAATTCTTTCGAGGTTACAGCGAATCTACATTTCGCCGGGTTTAGCTTCATATCACGCTCGTTCAGTTGCTTGAAACATTCCCGTAGATGTGCGACGTGATCGTTCTCTTCGAGTGATTTGACTAGCATGTCGTCGATGTACACTTCCATGGTCTTTCCGAGCTGACCTGTGAACATCTTATTGACGAGTCGTTGATATGTCACCTGGCGTTTTAAAGCCCGAATGGCATGACGTTATAGCAAAATATTCTGCGGTAAGTTATGAACAGCGTTTTCTCTCTATCGTCAGGATGCATTAATATTTGGTTGTACCCTGAGAACGTGTCCATGAATGTCAGTAACTTGTTTCCTGCCGTAGCTTTGACGAGCCGGTCGATATGCTGTAGAGGGAAACTGTCCTTTGGGCACGCCTTGTTGAGGTCTGTGAAGTCTACGCAGACTCACCACCACTGGGTTTTGCGAGCCAGTCTGGATATTTTGCCTCGGCGATCTATCCTACTTTGAGTTAGTCTCTCCACTTTGCCGTTGACAGCTTTAGCTCGTTCAGGGCCGAGCTTCCTCCTCTTCTTCTCGATTGATTTGAAGGTCAGGTCTACATTTAGTTCGTGACAGGTCAGGTCTACATTTAATTTGTGATAGGTCACGTCGATGCTTATGCCCGGTATATCCTCCATACTCCAAGCGAAAGTGTTGACATTCTCCCTGAGGAAGGAAAGAAGTTCTTTTTTCAGGGGATCTTCTAACTTGGTTCCGATCTCGACGCAACTCCCTGGATGCGCTTCGTCTATGCATATCGAGTCCAAGCATCACATACTGGCTTGGCGGGTGTTTTGTGGCTCTGCGATCTGTAATTGCTAGAAGAGTTTGGAGAGCTTGTTCTTGGACTCTCGGTCTGTCTTAAGCTTCTTGCGATCCACATCGGCGTGTGTGTCAGAAACATGATTCCTTAACTTGTGCTCCATCAGGAAACACATTCGCGACTCTTTCTGATTTCCCCAGATCGTCTTGATGCCTGCTGGAGTCGAGAATTTGATGCAGAGGTGACAGGCTCAAGGGATTGCTCTCATGGCATTAATCCACAAAGTTCCCATGATCACGTTGTAGATCGCTGGGTGGTCAGCAACTGAAAATTCCACGATCTTGGTGACTCCTCTTGCTACCACGGGAAGCCTGATCATGCCCATAGTCATCGTTGTTTCTCCCGAAAATCCAGTTAGAGGCTTAGGGGTAGCCGTCACCTCAGAGAGGTCAATTTCCATTCTTGTGAGTGTTTCCCTGAAGATAACATCCACCGAGCTCCTGTTGTCGATGAGTACTCTAACTACGTCATGATCTCTAATTGTCAGTTCAATCACTAACAAAACAGATCAGTCTATCCCTGTCGTTTCTTCCTCGGCAGAAGAGATCACTGTATTTGGGAGATCAGTCGGTTCGGTCCAGTTCTTCTTTGCTTTGGCTCGGCGCCGATAGGTTTTGATGGAGGACACCGTGTCTTGGTAATATTGGGATCCACCCATAATCATGTTGATCTTTTGCCTCGGCTCAGATCGTTCTTCGGGTTCGCCTCTCCTGTCGTGCTTGGTATTGTCTCCTTGTCGGGGTGGATTTGTCTCTTCCGTCGCGCTATTCGGCTCGGTCCCCTCCTTAGGTTTGGTGGGGGCGAGGTCCTTGAGGTTCACCGCGCTCTGGAGTTCTCCTGCTGCCATTTTAGCTGCGAGCTTTGCTCCCAAAGTTCGGCACTGCACTGTTGAATGCCCGTGGGTTTGGTGATATTCACAAAACTTTTTTGTCCGGATTGCTGCTTTCGTTGCTTCGTACTGTTCGTCCAGAATTGTCATCTCTTCTTTGTTTATAACGAAGTCTGATGATCGATATAAGGCATTCTCGATGGTCTGTGGCGTGTTGAGCACCATTTTCCGTTGAAATTTGGATTTGTACCATAAGGATCGCTTTAGGGCTTCAAGAGCGGCTTTGTCACTTATTCCTTCTACTTTGGACACGACTGCCTTGAATCTTGCCATGTAGCCTCAAAGCGGCTCGTTTGGTCCTTGGGTTAACGTCCATAGATCAGAGTCAGAATTTCCTCGTTTCATGAACATCGAGTACTGCTTCAAGAATAAAGCGGATAGCTGCTGAAAACTGTTGATCGAGTTGCGCTCCTGACTTGAAAACCATTCCAGTGCGACTCCCTTGAGATGTTCTACGAACAACAAACAGTAACCGGCATCTTTCTCCTGCTCGGTCAGATTGGCGGCATTCCTGGTGTGGTGAAGGCTCGTCCCATCGCTATGCGGAATGCCGTGATATGTGCCTTTGGGTCGGTCGTGCCTTTATAAAACGGGATTCTGACTTTCCCCGGTTCGGGGATCCTAGCCTCCGTGAATCTCACCGTGAACGGAGTTCTTTGAGTTTTTTTGAGCATTCGGTCAATCTCCGGCGCGACACTTATTGCGTTATGTACTTGAGACTTCATGGTGCGTATCTCTGCCACTGTCCGACTCATTGAGGCTCGCAATTCTTCCATCTCCTGGGTCTGTGCGCGGGTCATTCTCCTAGGTGGACAAGGTCACTCATGATCTTCTCTCCTTGGCTCGTCTTCGTATGCCGCCTGCTTGACCCAGTGAAGGTTCTCCTCTCCTTCAACTGGATCGTTGTCGTGAGTCGGGTCGGTGACTCCATCAGTTTGAATGCCATTAAGCGCCGAGGTGAGTTCTTCTTGACTTATTCGCCGAGCCGAGCCTTTTTGCTGCGAGTTTTTGGTACCATCGTTCTGTTGGGCGTCCACGTCGATTATGCCAGCTTCATCCTCGTCTCCGAGCCGTCTTGAGTTTTGCCGAAGTGGAGGCGCTCGGTTATGTTGACACGGGTGGCTGCTGGAGTTTGCTCATCGAGGGAGCAAAACATCGGCGGAGCCATGGGATTTCTTGCGCCACTACCGGTTGCTCCTGCAGGCGTCAAGAAGTCGAAGTGTCTCCTGCATCCATCTGTCGGATCGGAGATCCTGGCTCCCCATGTCGGATGCCGTCTTTCAGTTGTTATCGCGTCGAGCCTCTCCGTGATCGCCTCGTTCCTCTTATCCTGCTCGTCAATCTTCTTCATCAACGTGACCAGCATGTTCCGCATCTCCTCTTGGGCTTCGGTTGTTGTCATTGTCGTGCTTGGTGGTGGAGTGTCCTTCTCCGTGTTGTTGTTGTTGTTGTTCTCGTCTTCGGAAGTATTGCTCCCATGTTCTTCGGATCTTAAAGTCTTCTCGATTTTAGAGTAAGAAATTTTGATGTCGCCTCAGACGGCGCCAAATTGTGTGAGCCAAAACTCGCACAACCAAAATTTGTTAAAGGAACTCTTTAGGATCGGAAATTTCTAGGGTTTTTCTCGACAGAACTCAAGATCGAAAGAAGGTTTTTTCTGGGAAAGTGTTAAAGTCTTATTGCTCTCAAATTATGAAAAGTTACATAATGAACGTTATACATCGACTATTTATATGAATTCTACAAACCACCTAGCCGAAAATCTCGGGAAAGATTTTTGGAATATTTCCTTATCGCCTCATGCGACCGCAGCATAACGCTTCTTCACGGCTAGGTCCACTTGTTGGAATCTGCTCGTCGAAACGTCATACCGCGGCCCAATTCATCAAGATGCAGCTCGGCCCAATCTAGCTGAGGTGCGGCTCGGCCCAATCCAGCTTAGGTGCGGCTCGGCCCATCCTTTGTGGTACGGCTCGACCCATATATCCTTGTGCGCAGCTCGGCCCGATTGTTCATCTCCCGTATGCATTTGGCCCATTCGAGTGTCTTTTGCTGCAGCTCGATTTTCCTAGGTACTTAGTCATTTTCGAGATGGTTTAGATGCTTGGGATGAAACCGACTCCAACATATACTTATAATATAGCATATTAGTTTTGACCAATGAATTCTGCTAAATAGAGTATAAACTTTAATAACAATGATCATTAAAGTTTTGTATATATTATGATATACCTAATGTTATCATGAAGCGGAGTACAATTACATCAGTCAATATATTATTTGGAAATATACATTGTAATTTACCATATTTGATATTTACCATATTTGATATTTACCATATAATGATTGAATATACGCATTTATTTTAAATTTCTTAACAAGATCTTCTAAACCCTAAATTTTAGAGGCCTTGAACATTTTCAATATATATACTACCACTAACTATTTTTTAAGCTTTCACTTCAGAGCATAAAATGGATGCATTTGATTATACTGAAGACTTGAACCTCAGCTCGACTGGTCCATCCGTGTTAAATTGTTGAGAAAGTGGACTGAATATATATCACATCAAGGCATAACATCAGAATTGCTTATTGCTGATTCGAAGGTACTAATTAACATTTTTTGTTAACTATAACTAACTCAACTATTTCACTTTATTTTTAACATATATAAACTATATTCATTATTTCATTTGCAAAGGATCATACAATACGCATTCGGGTAAGAAGACAATTTCATGATTTATTCGAAACTCTACTAACCAAAGGTTCATGGTTTGAGATTGAAGATTTTGTTGTGAAGAGTTTATTCACAAATGATAGCAGAGAGTCTGAAAGTTTTTAATTCAATTCATAATATCCACATCCATAAAGAAAAATTTATTTGTTCAAGGTTAGTTATTTAATGTTATTTTATACAATTTCCAATTTACAAATAATTGACAATAAGGAATTTTATACATTTTCTTGCAGTAACAAAGACAATAATTAATGGATTACAATGCTATTTCGTCCTTTAGTTTTAAATAGAATTCATGCATACAACTTTAAGTGTGTCAAGTTTATGACTCTCTTTTCCAGATATCTTTGTAATCCTACTCTCAATTTTCAAATTTCATGGAATATTCGATTGTCCGGTTACCGATGGCTAACTAGAAATATGTCACATATTATTCTCTTTTTCTGTATTTTTAATTTTTCCTATGGTTATTGCTCACAGAATCTGTCAATTATAAAAATATTTAGAAAATAATGCAAAACATTGGTCAATTACTACATATTTTGCAGATTGCTGCGATTCTACTATTGACCATATGAGCCCATTTATATTCTTTACATTTAATACATTTAACATTGGTCCATTTCATCTTTCTTTATAAAAACGTTCATGTGCGAGTCAGTATCCTAATATATTATTACATAAAATATTGTTACGAATAATAAAGCGTAAATAAAAATAATAATAATTTTCTTTCAAAACTATTACAAAGTAGAAAAAGTCTATTTTTCATTAAATAAAATATTTGTATTTAATTTTTAATTATTAACATATTAAATATTTTAAATAATAATCGATACATAAAAAAATCTATTCAAAATTTTGCAATATTGTTTTCTATAATCTGTAATATTTTGTCTGAATATTCATAAATACAAAAGTTAGTTAAATTTATATTTATATTTCACACTATGCAAAATGGATTAAGTTAAGAACTTAGTCTGGTCTGATAATTTTATTTATAATAATTAGTTAGACATATTAAAAAAATTAGAAAAAAGTCAAAACTAATTTTAAGAAAATTACTCTGCACTATAGCACTGATTCAATCCTAGTATTTTGTAATATAAAGTTCAACTTTAAACAGCAACTTTCAAGTATGAAAGACCATTATTCATTACTTTATTGTGAAGATGACAATGAAGCATCATCCCGACGAAGAAAATTATTTTTTATATTCAAAATAAAGGAAAATGTGGAATGACAAAAATAACTAACGATAGTTTTAGAGCATCTACAATGGTTACATCTATATTTTACTATAAAAATAGAATAGAGTTCTCTAAAAACAAAGAAGGGGTTTACTGCAATGTTGCATCTATATTTGACTCTATGTATTACTATTAATTGCTTACAAGACTTTCTACTTCTAAAAAATTAAAAAAACTTCTATTGATTTTATTTTTAACAATAACTCAATATAATCATATTTTTAAAATTTTATTTGTTATAAAATATCATTACATCATATTAACTGAAAACCTAATAAATAATAAATTTTTAAGCATATTTTTCTCACAAATGATCAGTTAAGGATTTCAAAGTGAGAAATGAGATCCTTTGTCTTTTATTTGTCTATATCGACAAAAAAAATCTTGAAATTGGATACTTTTATCTGTCGCTATTTCAACTTCTGGAGGTGGAGTTTCTCTTTAAACTTATTGTATTTAATTTTAGTTTTAGTTATCTTGTTGTATTTCTCTTTATTTAATAGATTTTGTTGTTGTAATTTAAACTTTTATATGATTATATAATTAATTATTGTTGATATAGTTTAATTAAGTATAATATTATGTGGTATCTTATTATTTATTTATTGCTTATGTGTAAAATAAAAGATATAAAAGTTTAAGGATTGTTTTGTAAATAAAAAAATGTATACTCTATTTAGGATATATTTTTTATTTCTCTATTTATATAGTAAAAATAGAGTTTATAAGCAAAAATAGAAAACCATTGCACATGCTCTTAGTAATCTGGTAATCTGATAAACAAGAGTGTGTTGATGTTCCTTTTTCTCTGATAAACAAGAAAGTTGCTTTCTTCTTCAAGTAGCTCTAATATAACAAAAAAAAACATATTGTTTCTTTTTGAGATCTTTTTAAGCATATGCAAAACAGCATTGCATGGTTTAACTCCCGGAATTAGAAATGCTATCCAATTCATCATCACATGCCTTAAGGCTTAACTCACGGAATTAGAAATTTTATCCAATTCATCAGATTGGTTTAACTCACGAAATAAGAAATGTTTAGGAATCGCGTTTCCACAGCGTTTCCAAGAAATGTTTATGAAACACGTTTGTTTTGCTTTCAATTCAAAACATTATACTAAAGAAAGATGGTTTCTGCAATATTTTACTCAGTCAGCAACATTTGTTCAGAAGAAATCAATTTCAATCAACATATCTTGCTAGGATCTTGGCATAACTTACTTCCATGGAGTTGAATATTAGCAACAATCCAAAACAGAGTTCATACGATCAATAGCAAACCAGAAAGTTAGGTAGAGAGATTACGAAATTCCTAAATTTGATGACAAAGGCTTTGCCTCTCCTTCTCCATTAAAACCGATAAACCTATATATACCTAATGCCTTATTCTTAAGATGCTTCAGCAATGACAGAGCCCACCTCTCGCATAACGTCAGTCTTCTGCAACACAATTTCCATTTCTTTGGCTTGCAACTGCCTCCACTTCTCTTCCAGCCTCGTCTTAGTCTCTGCAGCCACCATGCTCCATTTCTGTTTCACAAACTGTTCATCCACGCCTAAACTCACAATAGATCGAACCAGAAATGATTCTTCAAACCAGTCATATGCTCTTGGACCAATAGACCCTGAATCTCCTCCATGAATCAACACTTCCGTATCTTCTTCTGCCTTTTTACAATTAACACATCTCTATCTTCTTCCACCCTTTCACCATTAGCTTCCAAAGAGTCCAGCTCCTTCTCACCCTTCTTCGGTGTCTCATTAGACTTAAGGACAGATCCATCAGATTCAACTTCTTCATAATGAGGTCTCAAAGAGTCTATCTTTTTCTCACTCTTCTTCACATTAGACTTAACCCCCGATTCAAGATCCATTCTAACTTCTTCAACATCTTTACAAGGTTTCAAAGACTCTATCTTCTTCTCACTCTTCTTCACATTAGATTTAACAGCAGATTTAAAAGCAATCCCATCAGAACCCCAAATACACTTGACCAATTTCAAACATTCCTAATGATGACCTTCTGATAACGATTCTAAACCATTCTTCATTTTCCCCATATACCTCTTCTTCAAAAAACTAATCTTGTCCCTGAACTGTTTTTTACTAGCCTGAAAGCTAATCGATTTCAGGGCTAGCTCATAAAACCCGTCCATATCTACGTACGGACTATAACCTTTATCAGCCTCATAATCGTTCATACCTTGTAGCAGAGAGATCTCATCTTCCTCAGTCCACAGCCTCTGAAACAACGGTTTCTTCGTAGCCTCTACAATCTGTTTCTCGGTTTCCTCTGAAACCTTCCTAGCCCGTTTCGCACTCACCTCCGTTGAGTTTTTCTCATCCGGCCGCTTCTTCCCTGATTTAATCGCCGGCGAGCCACGAACCTCTTTCTCTGTGGGTTTTGAAGGACTCGACTCCGATCCAGAAGTAATGGACAATCTTCCTGGGACAGCAATTGTAACAGCAGCGGACGGAGGTTTTGGTTTCTTCCTGGACGGAATTTTGACGGGACTCATGAGCTCGTCTTCTTCTTCAGACGAAGAATCATCGGATATCTCTTCTTCGACTTCTTCCTCCTCCTCCTCCTCCTCTCTAGACAAAGTTTCCACTTCCTCTTCGTCGCTTGAAGATGATGTAGGTGGATCTTCCAAAGGGTTGAGCTTCTTCGCCATCGTAGTTTTCTAAATTGTTCTTCTTGTGGTGAAGCAGGGATAGGGAGCCGAAATGGAACTGTAAGCTTTTTAGGGTTTGTTTTTGGGGTAAAAATACAGGAAAAATGTTTCTTTTTTCCGAAATAAAATGTGTAAGAAAATGGTGATAAATAATTGTGAAATTTGGAAATTTGGAAGAAAAAAAAGGAAAATTTGGAAATGAATCTTGAATTCTAAAGTAGGTGAAGTTTGTGAACATTTAATGTTGAAATATGATAGATTGTTGCATGATGGAGTAAATTAAGCTTGTTAAGCCGACAAGCTTTTTTACTCAGATTCAGAATAAGTTTGCTCCCGATTCCTTGATTAACGATCAATACTCCTTTTTTCATTCTTATATGTTAGTTTCTAAGCCAAGTGATTTATATTCAAGTTTATCATGAGTCTCTGAATCTAACTATTTAGCTTTTAATTTTATTTTTACTATTTTGTTTTCAATTTTAAATCAAACAATAATTTTCTTTTTAATTGAAAAACAAAGATATATGTGGTCAATTCTCTTGAAAGAGAAAAGTGAAAGGTTCAGCAAATTCAAAAAATTCAAAGCACTAGTCGAGTAAGAAACAAGAATGAGTATCAAAAACACTTCGAACAAGAGGTGGTGAGTTTGTAGGGGAAAAGGTCGATTAGTCCCTAAACACCATCATCTGGTACCAATAAATACCTAAACAATTTTAATAGGTTAATCAGTACCTGAACTTATTAAAATAAGTAAATACATACCTCAACAATATGTTTGAGGTCAATTAATACATTGACTTTCTCTATGTTAGTCAAACCTATTAATTTGCAAATAGAATCCGACTCGGATACCACGGTGGATGCTCTGTTCGAATGAAACCAATGTAACATCATTTAAGATTAAAAATCTAGAAAAAGGCAAAAACGACGTTATTTTAAATTTATTATACATTAAAAAAATAAACCATTTATATCTTCTTTCATCTTCTTCGTCACTCTTCTTCGACGACTTAAAACAGCGAAGAACATCAATAGTTAGAGTTTGAGTGGTGTTCGAAATCAAATTGGAATGACTGCATCAACCGGGACGTCTGAGTCGGATTCCGTTTGCAAATTAACAGGTTTGACTAACAGAGAGAAAGTCAATGTACTAATTGGCGACAAAAACATTGTTGATGTATGTATTTATCGATTTTAATAAGTTCAGGTACTAATTAACCTATCAAAATTGTTTGGGTATTTATTGGTACCAGATTACGGTGTTGAGGTATTAATCGGCCTTTTTCCCTGAGTTTGTCTTAAAAGTTTCATGAATTTTGCGACAACTCAGGCATAAAAAAAAACACTTGACAGCTCATTATTCCCCTCAACAGAATGGAATAGTATAAACGCTAAAAAGAACACTAGTGGAGATGATAAAGAGTATCATGAAGCATATGAATATATCATGGGAGGATTGCTGTAACGACCCTAAAAAAATTGGTAATTAGGAGAACAAGTTTACAATCTCGAAATTAGTAGAACAATCTCGCTTTTTGAAAAATCCAGATTTTACCCTTCGGATGTTTTGATGACAAAAAACGTATTTACGAAAATACCATTATTATTTAATTTTCACGCCAGCAGTCAAAATAACGCGTTAAAAAATAAGTCTATCATTGTTAATGGTAGAGATATTTTTGTTGATAGACTTACACGTGTGTAGGTAGATATATTATCCATTGATAGATTTGTGTAAATGTTGATAGATTTGTAAAAAGTTGGTAGATTTTTTGTTGGTAGACTTTTTGTTGGTAGACTTATTATTAACGTTAAGGTAGATTTGATTTTGTTGGTAGATATATTATTTTGTTGATAGATTTGTTGTTTTGTAAGGTAGATTTATTTCGATTTGGTAGATACAATGACGAAAAGTTGACTTCGGTTGACGAAATTGATAGACTTATTTACCTTTTGAAGTAGATTTGTTTTATAAAAAATAGACTTGTTTACGAAGAATATAAATCTACTACTAGAGATTTTAATTCATAACGATAAATTTAATTGTGTATTGGGTAGACTTAAAAACGCGTGGTAGATTTGTTATATCTAAGTAGATTTGTTTTCTGAGTGATAGACTTATATTTAAATTTTCTTACATGAGTTATGTTTTCTGAGTGATAGATATATTACACAATGTAATAGAGATATTTGATGGTGATAGATTTATTTGACATTTTAGGGTAATGTAGTAGATTTATTGTTCATCTTGGAGCATCGAGGTTGATAGAGTTCTGTAAAAATTGGTAGACTTTTTAAGAATTGGTAGACTTATACAAATTGATAGAGTTATTTTCCTGCATTTGAAGGTAGACTTATTTATACGAAATTACGTATTTGTCCAGCAGTTATTATCGAATTTTCTACATTCAACCACCGCATTAACTACATTTAGGGTAGCTGCCCTTAAGTGTCGTAGATTATTTTCCATTTCCATGTATCAGATGCTCTCTTGATGTTGTATTTCTTTCTTCTAACATGTTTTATTCATGCATGGTGGATTTTCGACAAATTGTTTATGAGGATTTAGGATTGGATCAGTGGCGTTATGAGATTCAATTTAGTTATATGCTTTCGAAGAGATCCAATCACTAGCTATCCAAACATATATGGTAGACATGTTTTCTTGAGAGTGATAGATTTTTTAATTTTCACGATAGACTTATGTATAGTTTTTGTATCCAGGAAAAAGTTGAAGGTGCTAAGCAACTAGCAGTGCAAGAGATTGACGACCATCTGGCACAGGTTACCGCACTACAAGAAAAACATCATTTTACAACGGCCGAAATGGTCGTTAATTCGTCGTAATAGGGCCATTACGACGGACTACCGACGATTTCGAAATCGTCGTAAAGTCATCGTCGTAATAGACAAATCGTCGTAAAATCGTCGTATAATATACGACGGTTTTGTTTCGTCGTAACGTCGAGGGAAACAAAATCGTCGTAAATGCGTCGTACAGTTTACGACAAGTTTACATCGAATTGCGTCGACTTGGTCTTCGCCTAGACCGTCGTTAAGTGGTCGTTAATGGTCGACGTAAGATCGTCGTAAAATGTACGACGCATAAATCGTCGTAAATCAATCGCAAAGTATTTCTTCATTTCGTCATAAAATCGTCGTAACTCTCGGACGTATAATCGTCGTATTTGTCGTCGTACATTGTAGTCGTAAATTCGTCGTAATATTTACGACGAATGTACGAAGGTTTGAATAAATCTATTACGATGATTATACGACGTTTAATATAATTGAAAATTAAAAAACAAATAATTCGAATTAAAATTTAAATAAAAAAAAATAATTCACAATTTAAAATTTATGAAAATTTGAAATTAAAATTAATTGTAATTTACAAAAACACCCTACAGATCTAAATCTAAATCTAAATCGATCCCGTCACCGGCCTCCTCCACATCGTCCTGGACGTGTTCCTTGCCAAGTCTTCGGTTTGATGCTTCCGCCGGCGCCTGATCTCCGGCTCTAGGAGGCTCAACCCCGAGAGATCGGAACATCTCCTCGTCCGTCTGCACCGGCGGTTGCGTCCTAGTGGATGACCCGGCGGCAGACGATCCGACAACCCCATCAGCCCGCAGCTTGTCCAACTGCGCCATGAGTACCGGGTTGTCGGCTCCCATGATCTCGAAAAGACCGTAGAGCTGGTCGATCCTCATCTCGTACCGGGTCCGCATCTGATCAATCTCCTGGCGGATAACCGGATCCGGGACCCGGACGTGACCAGTCGCCGTAGCTCTAGGGGTATCACGGATGGACCCCATCCCTAATACCCGCCCCTTTTTCTTTGGGGCAACCTACAAATATTTAAAAACATTATGGTTAGAAATATAATTTTAAACTAAAGTTACATTAAATAAAAATAGTAATTAAAATTACCTCTTTGAAGATCTGGTCCATCTCCGCCACCGTCAGCGCCGGGGTCGATTGGACCGAGCTACCTCCGGGAGACGTTTGACACGCCTGTTGAGTCAGCTGCGTCTGTCGCTCCTCGATCGCCGCACAGGTGGCGTTGTAGATCTCCTCCGCCCGAGAATCCGTGAATTCGCCGTTACGCTTTTTATGCGTCTCGGCGAAAACCTTTGTCATCGGAGGAAGTTCTCCTCCGTTATCTTCGACCTACAAAATCAAAATAAAAAAATTAATTAGTATCAAGAAATAAGAGTTAATTATTTGAAAACAAAAAAATTAATGATTTTAATTTACTTACCATCATGAGCCGTCTTCCGGCAAAAGGAATCTGGCCGGAAGTGTGCGGGACGTTCTTCCGATTTCCCGCATCGTCAGTAGCGTTCCTAAAAAATATTTTGATTAGAATCTATTATAAGAAAAAAAATAATATAAATATTATTGAAATTAACTACGACTTACCTAGATCGGGAACACTTGGTGGCCGTAGTCTGGTTGTGCGGATCCAACCAATACTGGACAAGGCCCCGCCAGACGGTATTGGACATAGGCGCCGGCTTGGCCTTGTCGCCGTCGACCTCCCACTTCCGTTTCCAGTCGGAAACGGTGTTGTTGAGGCGGAATTTGACCTTCTCCTTGAAGGCCATCTCCACACGTCTGTGTGCGGATGTTTCCCAATGCCAGTTTTGCTAAGAAAAAAAAAGAAGTTAGTAATTATTGTAAAACGTTAAAATCTAAAATTAAAATTAAAGGAAATGGTAAATTACTTACCGCAAAACACTTGAACCAAGTGTCAAGTGTGGCCTGATCCAGCTTCTTCCAGCTGGTATGGGGTTGTACGAAAAACCCCTTGATGATATCCGCAACGTTACGACCGACTGCATTGTCGGTCGTAAACCTAGTCAAATGGAAAGAGCAAAAGTTAATTAATATCAAATATATAAGAATAAATATAATTAATTTAAAAATATTGTAGGCAAAAAATAACGTACCAAAGGTGTCGGGGGCTCGATCCGGGTCGAGTTTGTTCATGGTCTCACGACCGGGTTGCGCCAGAAGATCCTGTACCGTAAACTGGGCATACG